TTCTCTCTCAATTCACTGTCACCTGTTCAGTCCGCCACGCTGTCTCGAGGCTTCCTCAGTAATAATACGATGTAAGACCCTTTTTTCCTATAGTTAAAATATAAGGTTAACTCAACTAGCTTAATTGATGCTGCAGTATTTCAAATCTACCCTGTTTCTTACCAGACAACTCCCAAAGTAAAGTCATTCAAGTTTCGAATCACATCGAAAATTCTAGGCATTAGTTGCAAATGTGCTTATGGTTGAGACAGCTCCAGTGTTTATTGTTGAATAATTATAACGAAGCGATCAACAACTAAAGTATCCTGGCAATGAGCCAGTACTGTCAACTATTGACAGAGCGTCTTTTCTTCTTGTTCATGTCTTGATAATTACATGCACTGATCGAAAATGTTTCCTCTTCCTCATTGAAAACACCTGAAGGCTAAGTTTAAGCTGCCCGGCATTCAAACTTAACCAGCTAGGTAATCATGGCATGAGTCTATTAATTACTGGTTTCTCTTGCCAAGATGAGTAGCCCCCGAGTGAGTTTTTCATTTTCCGTTGCTTCGAGCTTTTTATGAAAAATAAAAATACTTTTCGTACGATTTCAAATCTGATACTAGTTCAAAGAATTATCAAAATACAAAAGAAATTCGTTCGTATAGCATGGTGAAAATGGGTCTCGTAAAAAAGAAAACAGCCATCTTTTTGGGTGATGCTTCGTAGCTCTGAAAACTAGTTGGACTGACAATTATGTCGCACGGTTAATTGCAATTTTTTACGAGTTTTGTGAGAAACAAAAACTGAATTTAAATCATAATCATAACCATTGAAAGACTCTTTTGTTGTAGCCAAAGACGACACTCAAAAAACACAAGTGCTTTGTTTCTTCGCCTCTAGATTATGATGAAATACAATTGAGTGCGCGTAAAGAGTTACGGAAAGACACGTACATGGTGCTCGTACTTGAATCCTTTCTGTTTGGCCGCTAGGCGCTCGCCACTAGACATTCATGAATAATACTAAAGCACTCAGTTCTGAAACTGTAATTCAGTATTACAAATTTGAAATCATTTAATCGGCCACATAGCTGACTTTTATTCTCAAAACTGTCATTGGTAAGTAAAATATTTCAATTTAAAAATGTTACTTTGGATTTGCGCAATTGAGACCTCTTTACCTTGGGCGTAATGTTTTCCCATTTCAAACCACTTTTCTTTCCCTAGGGTATCAGTTCTTTGTCAGGGGGATGTCAACGGCTGTCCATAAGAAGACACATGAATATGGATACAACTCAAACAAAGAATCTTATTCTCAAGGGAATGACACGTGGTCTGAAAGGGGAGAACATTACGCACGCAAGGTAAAACATTGATGATGATCTCATGACAGGATAATTTATCTTTTATCTGTTACCATTTCTTCATTCGTGTTTTTTTAACAGTAATTTAGTTACTATCATTATCATCATTGATCTACAAATTGATCATAATTTAAAAAAATGCTCTCTAGAGATCAATATTGTTTTAATGAAAATTTAATTAAAGACTACTTGCCGTGGTAACTTCAATTTTCATCAGGAATAATCTTAGGATAAAGAATATCGGCAAATATAATCAAACACAGTCGTTAAATAAACATTTTATTAAGCATACTGTGTTTGTATCGTTGCTATGGTTACCAAAGTGACGTACGTCATGACATTCTTTCGTGCGTCTTTAGTTTCTACAGAAACTAGACACTTTTCAAACATTTCTTCACGCAACAACTTTATAATCCCACAAACCAAAGCCGAAGGAACGAAGGAAGCAGGAGATTGTATTAACATGCGGTTATGATTCTCATCCTCAGTTCCCAGCGACTCAGCTAGGAACGCCTGGGACCATGACCCCTATTTTGGCAACCAAATACGACGAAAAAGAACGGCCTGCATTTTTAGTTTCGGGTTCCTGCGGAAGCCCGAGTAAAACCTTTTCTGGAATATTCTACCCCACCTTCAATTCTTTGCGCGGCAAGTTCACGCTCAACAACCTGAACAAACAGTTGTCGATATGAGCCCCGTTCTCCAAGGTTGTGGAAATGATTGGGTCAATTTGGCATTGTGGTGCATTGTGGGAATGCTTAGAGGATGAAATTAAACGCCATCTTGAAAATATGTCCCGTCAAAATGCAATGCAATGTCGGTTCGACCTAGTATTTTCCCCGGAAATGACTAATAAATATCGATATTTTTATCAGTTTCTTTATGAATAGGTAAAACAAGAATATCTATAGCCTTTTGGCGTTGAAGAAATATGACAGCATTTTCCGCGTTTCGTCCAATGATACTGCGAGCAGTAAGTGAAGACGGCGCAGATGAAGAAGTGAAACGAGATGAAGAATGGAAACGAGATGAAGAAGTGAAAGGGGAAGAGCCGTAGGGAACCACACTTCAACACGATCCTTGAGTGCTTATGGCACTTCCCGAATAATGGAAAAGCTGTTTTTTAAAGCAAAGGAAATAATACTCTGTAGCTTTTAAAGTACTGTTCTTCTTAAAACTATTTTTTTTCTAAACTAACAGGTGCGTTTATGATGACTTGACTTCAGAACCGTGCCCTGTTCTCTAACACATAACGTTTTTAACCAATCGGCGGCTGCGAATTGGTTTAAAAAAATTCATCACATATTATAAAGGATTTTTATAATATTATTACAGTGTTGATAATTTATAAAGATTGGGGCGTTATAACGTTTATAAAGTGAGTAGAACATAATAAGAAGATATTATATGTTGTGTTTGTATTGTTTTTGGGTGTGGCAACCAATAATCCTTAATAAATGCATATCAAAACCCCTGGCCCTCCTCACTACTATACCCCCCCCCCCCCATTCATCAGGTATCTATCTCCCGCCCTTCTCCCGCAAAATTACAGGTTTCAAGGACGAAAATTTTCTTTATTTGAACAAAATTCGAAGAAGCTATTTCCAGGTTTTTATTCACTCTATTTTGATGGCAATAATGGATATATTTTCGAAAAAGAGCTTGGTTTGAACTTTTTAGTTCAAAACACAAGAGCAACGGCTAATAAGATGTACCTGCACAGGGATCTCGACAAGAAAATAACCATAAAACAATGAAAGCCTTTTCTTTCGAAATCCATTCGCGCATAACATGTTTTGAAGCGCAACTATTTTGGTCTCAAGGGAAGCGCGTTGTGTACGAATGAACGCGCAATTTGTCAGATTCGCTGTAGACTCGAGTGTAAACAGCTTCAACGAGCAGAGGAAGCTAAACGAAGACAAAACTAGCTGTTTTCTGGTTTGTACAAGACAAGAACAAAGGTAATGTGGATTCTAAACCTTGTGTGTGTAGATTAATAACGAGAGTAGTCTCGTGGCATTCTTGAAATAAGATACGCTAGTTGACATATTTAATTTCATTAAGTACTCTCCTTTTCTTCATACTAAATTCACTCAAATATCGAATCTTCTTTATCATTTATCAAACCTTTGAGAGCTTTTTAAAAGTTTACCTTTCATAAGGTTAAAAATATCGAGTAAAATTTTTTTTTTTAGATTTCCATGTGTACTTTACATTATGATGGGATTCCTGTGTTACGCAAGCTTCAAAACAGTATACACAGGAAACCCAATTTCGTTCAAATTTCAACTTGTTTTTCTCCTAATTCCTATATGTTTTGAGAACTATCCTTAAGCCCTTGTATAATGCATTTAGAGATCTATTGATTGTGTAAGTTTTATTTTGAAAAAAGTTTAAAAAGCACACGAAATGTCGAAAATGCTAAAAACGATATACCGCTGACCAAATGCCATTTTAGTCTCTCTCATAAAATCCTTAATAGAACTCCAATCAAAATAATAACTTCAGAACCATGTTAGCACAAGCCTTAGCTCTACATTGATGTGTATTTYGTTTGGAAAAACTYAWTWTTTCGATTTACGAAAATTTGGACCAACCGAAAAAACGCATATTTTGGGGTTCTAACTTCAAACGGCTCGTTTTCCATGAAATAAAGTAAAATGTCAAAATATTTTTATGCTCAGATTTAAAGCTTACTTCCTTCTTTTTGGCAAGTGTAAAATTTTTAGTATCAAGATTTTCTTTCCATTATTTTTTAAGCGTTTTTTGACGAGTGGAGGCATTTGGGCTTCCTGTGGTGGAAGTTTAAAAGGCTAAACGACAAAGAATCACGATTTTGGGAGTAAAAACGCGCAAAAACTGTAAATATTTTGAAGAATTTACTTTAAATAGTTGTTATTCTTTCCGAAACATTCATTTTTTTCGAGAAAAAACACAGTTGAATTTTCGGGAATTTTCACACCTTACCACAGGGATCCCAAGGATCCAAGATCCCATTATGACTTATGAGACGTTGCAGTTAATAAGTCTATCTTATATTTTTAGCAAAACATCAACGCAATTGATTAATGAAAGATTTTATATCTTTATTCATTTTTTTCGAAATTTTAAAATCCCAATGTATACAACGAGAAAACCAAAACTTATTATCTAGTAAAAGTAGTCGTAAACTCGGTTGTTTTGCAAAGAAAAATAGATTTGTTGATATATATGTATATATAAAAAGGTACATATAGTAATTATCTTATAATATGAAACTCTTCATCTTTTTACAAAACTATTGAACTTCACCCTTAAATAAAATACACCACAGGAAGCCCAAACATCTCCATCTGTCCGAAACCTTCACCACAGGGAGCCCAAATGCCTCCATCTGTTTATAGCCTCACAAATCTATCTATAAAATTCCGTCGCTGAAACGTTTTTATGCTGTACAAAGATGGGTGTAGCCCGGCTTTAAAAGATTTCATTGTTTAATGCATGGGGGGAAGTGAGTTGGACGTTTGTTTCAATGGTTACCAATTAAGTGACGTACGTCGGGACATTCTAGCGTGCGTCGTTCGATTCTACTTAAAGTTCCTTAGAATGCTCTACCTCGAGCTTTTTCGAGCCAAAAGTTCACGCGCTCAACAAGTTGAACAAACAGATGTCAATATAAATATAGATGTTTTTATTAATATCTTCATGCTTAGGAAATACAAGACTAGCATTTCTATTGTTGAAGACATATGACAGCTCTTCCGTGTTTCATCTGGTAATACTGTAAGCAGGAAGTGACAAAAGCACGGACGTCGAAGAAGTGAAAAGAGATGAAGCACGAGCCGTAGCCGATCACACGTCAACACACTTCTTGAGTGCTTTTGGCGCTTCCTTTGTGACGTATTACTGAAAGAATAACGGGAAAGCTCTTTACTCTTATAAGAAAGAAAATACATTATAGCTTTAAAAGGAGCTTTTTAATTTTTTTTATCAAACTGACAAGGGCGCGCAGTAGGATGACGTCAGCATCGTGCTCTGTTCTATGAGGAAGCACGGTGATTTTCAACCAATAAGTGGCTACGCATTGATTTATAAAACAGTTAACAAAGAAGGAATAAATTATAACTTTAAAAAATCGTTTTCTTTTTAAACTATTTTTTTCCAAACTGAGAGGCGCGCGCATTATGATGACCTCTGCACCGTCCTCTGTCCTATGAGAAAGCACGGATTCTCAACCAATTAGTGGCTGCGCATTGATATATAAAACACTTTTCATATTTTAAAAGCGATGACAAGTGCTCGCAAATTTCATTTCCTACGTTACGGAAGACGGGATTGAAAAAGGCGCGTGAAATGTCTGAATTATTTCATGTGATATTTTGTGCTTCTTGTTTATTGATTGGGTATTTTGCTTTGCCATTGTCCATACACGCAGAAATCCGCAATTCGTATGAGTTTCTTAATATTTTTACCCAATATAGTAAGACACAGAACTTAGCCTATTTCTGGGCTAACTGGGGTTAGACTAGCATGTCTTGTACTCAAGCTTCCGACTCCCCTTAGTTACCGTTGCTATGTCCTAAAAGCTCAAGAATCGAGCTAGAGTATCTCCGAATGTTAAAGTCTTAGCCCTATGATACGGTACGGTTGTGGTACGATTCAAACTGGTCATCGTAGTAGATGTAGAACTCTGTCTGTCCGCACTTTTAACATTATCAGTCAAGGCTTCAAAACTTATCCTCGCAACTGCGTCTATTTGTGTGGTTCCCTGTGGTTCGACTGATTCATATCGTCATCGTAGTAGACGTAGAACTCCGTCTGTCCGCAGCTTTAACATTGTCAGTCAAGGCTTCGACACTTAGCCTTATGACAGCCAGGTTCGTACCAGTTAACTCACGAACGCTGTTCGGTGATTGCTTTAAGTTATAAGTGGTTAAGATTTTGCGTCGACATCGGTTTAAGAACACTTCAACAATCAGTAAAGCAAAACAAATGACAAAAGCAATTGACGAAACCAAGAACAACCCACTAAAGTGCTGGAACTCCATCCGATATGCTTTACTTTGTGCTTCCTTCGAGTTGTCACAGACACCCGTGAACCATTTTTTCCTCAAGTGACGGAAATAGTCTCTTCTTTCGTATTTGAGCATCAACTGAGATATTGGGGTTGTCCACTTGGAGTTTTTCGGAAAGGCGAATCCATACCCATGCATAGTGATTGCATGGCCGACGATTTTGAATGAGCAGTCTGGCTGCTTGGACGCTGTTAGGTCAATGAATGGAGAATCATCGATAAATGCATCTAGTTCCCTTAAAGAGATAACGAATTACTATGGTTACTAAATGTCGTTTACATTGAAAATCATTCTCAAAGTCTTTTTGCATTTACACGACATCATTGCTCAACATAAACCATTTTATCATCTCCTATTTCTGAGCATGCGCAGCTCAATCTTAACGGGCCAATCACAGCCAAACACCTCACTCACCCTGAATTAAGCTTTTGCGTGGCTTCGGCGTAAGTCAACACCTGATATGGCTTCATATTTTGGTAAATACGTCTCATCTCGGGATCGGAACTATGAGAGAAAACCATTTCTGTGCTGCTGTGTTTAAGAGTAGCGAATTTAAAACCTGACGATTTATCTGTGAACTAGAGAAAACAAAAGCATTTATGGTTCAATAGTAAAATATAGTTGTAAAATATCAAGGATGCCAGGCGGTATATAAGACTTTATCGAGAACTAATCACAGTAAACGAAGCTGTTTTTAACCAATCAAATTGCTGTAAAACTTAAGTGTCTCAATAATGAACGTTTTTTTTTTTTTTTAACACATTTTGCTCATTTTTCGACAAAAAAATCTGATAGGTAACAAAAGCAAAATACGAGTGTTGTGCTAAGAATCAGAAAAGAAAAAAATACACACTTCTTCTTGCGTGCGGAACAATGATAACTCGTTCAATGTTTCTAAATGTCTTTTCTGAAACAACCACCATCATAATGCATTCTGGTCTATCTTGGGTACGAACAACACCAATGAAAGCTTTATCGGCATTAAAGCTAGACCACAATGATACTTGGTACTGAGTGGTATCTCACTTACCTTTTTATCGCGGATCTCGGAAACTTTTTGGCTTTCTGTCGTTACGAGGGATGCTGCTAAGTTTGCCGTATAAGTAGATATAAGAATGAGCATGGCAAAGGCAAACACCGCTGATGTAGTGCGGGCGCTAACACTCCTAGGGTTAACGCTATCGAGCTGTAGTTTAAATACACTACTCCAGATAAAAGACATACAAGCTGATGCATCGAAAATATACTTGAGTCTTCCCTTGTGTGTGTTAAAATGCCCATAAGGACTGAACCGCTCGATTAACCACACCACAACAAGAGTGACGTTGATGGCTAGTAGCGAGACCAGCCATAGGTTTGTATCAAACGGAGCAAGGAACCCCATCTCTATGACATTCACTGTTTTCTTTCCTTGACCAAGCATGATTTTGGTTTCTCCGTAAAGAAACGCGTTGGAGTAGTCAATAACACGTGAACGAACTTCATTGATGGTAAGTGTAGTGAGCGTCATGTCTGCTTTGCCTTGGATAAGTTCATTTATCAGGCCATTCCAAGTTTTGGTCTTGGGGTCGTAGCCGCCGTAAAAACCATCCTCAACGAAATACAACTCAACATTAAAGCCAAGATCCTTCTTAAGATGCTCTAGAATATCAATAGCATAACCAATGCAGCATTTTCTAAGCCTTTGTATCTGCGTTTTGTTTGTACCAGGGATTTTGACACGTTCAAATCGGATGCAAAGCTGTGAGAGGGTGCAATCTTCGCTGTCTTTGAGGACACCCTTACTGACAATGATAACAGGGTCATCTTCTATTGTAGTCATCCGTATGAGGTTTGAAGCGGGATGACTGAAGTTTTTCGTCCAGAAATTGCTACTGAGGTGTACTGACGTGCTACTCGCAGATCCTACTTCTTCCCAAAACTTTTGACCCTGTGGATTTATTGACATGCGCAGTATGTCATATGGCACGGTTTGCCGCTGTCCTTGACTTGATAGGCTCAAGGCTCCAGTTTTACCGACGAAACTTTGTTCAATCATTTTCCTGTAAAAATAGAATGGATAAGAAAATGATTCAAAAGTTCACTGTTGCAAAGGGCTTTCATACTGATCATGATTAGAGGGTGTATTAGGGTCTATTTTAATGCTCCTATTTTTGCTGCGTTCTTTTCTTTTATTTCCTCGCGCCTTTGACCCCTAATTTGGGAAGCACGTTTGGCGCGCGTGCGCTGCTAATGCTCCTCCCTCCCACCAATGCGACCGGGGTAATTCAAACCTGTCGGGTTTGGTAAGTGTCGTATGTGAGTAGAATTGTTCGTTGGTTCTCTCCCGACTTCGAGGATTTTTCTGCGGGATCTCTTTTTTTTTTTTTCCCCTCCACAAAAATCAACTTCAAGTTCCTTATTCAATCTATTGGCTGCCTTATCAATTGGGTTGCAAAACCTGTTAGGCATTACGCCTTCCACCCAGGAGTGGTAAACGCATGAAATAATAGTTTTTTACCTCTCTCTACCTCATGGTGATTGATACCAAGCCCCTTAGGATAGCAAAAAAGTATAAAAATTGAGAAATATTGCGCGCGCTAACTGCTAAACAAGTTGAATTGAGGTAAAGAAATGATTCTGATAAGAGATTGCGTACCTCACATGGCAGCTAATAGAAAAACCTATCTAAGCTTTTTCTTGGACAGATGGGTAGCACGCTATTTTTGGTTTTCTCATTGCATAAATTTGGAATTTTTGAAATGTAAAAAATGTTAAACGATAGGAGAAGTTCATAGTTATGGACTTCTGGCGATAGAAGAAATCTTATTTCTTATTGCGTCAAATACTTGATAAAAATATAAAATAAACTTAATAACTACTTGCAACATAATTTAAAACGCTTGGGATCCCTGTGGTAAAATGCGAAAATTCCCGAAATTTGATTTTTTTTTTCGTGGAAAAAAAATGTATCGGAAAGAATACCAGCTAACTAAACTGAATTATTCAAAATATTTACAGTTTTGCGCGTTTTTATTCTCAAAATCGTGATTCTTTGTCGTTTAGCCTTTTAAACTTCCACCACAGGAAGCCCAAATGCCTCAACTCGTCAAAAAACGCTTAAAAAATAATGAAAAGAAAACCTTGATACTAAACTTTTTACACTTGACTAAAAGTAAAAACTAAGCTTTAAATCTGGGCATAAAAATATTTTGACATTTTACTTTATTTCATGGAAAACAAGCCGCTTGAATTTGGAACCCCAAAATATGCGATTTTTCGGTTGGTCCAAATTTTCGTAAATCGAAAAAATAAGTTTTTCCAAACAAAATACACATCAATGTAGAGCTAAGGCTYGTGCTAACATGGTTCTGAAGTTATTATTTTGATTGGAGTTCTATTAAGGATTTTATGAGAGAGACTAAAATGGCATTTGGTCAGCGGTATATCGTTTTTTGCATTTTCTCTTTTTCGAGTAGATTTTCATTTTCTTTTCAAATGAAACTAACACATGTAATAGATCTATAGATGCGTTATATGAGGGAGGTAGCATAGTTATTAACACTTATAGAAATGAGGAGTAAAACGAGATGAAATTTGACCTTAGTTGGGTTTCCTTTGTACACTGTTTTGAAGCATCATAACACAGGAAGCCCATCACAATTGAGAGTACACTTTTTTTATAGTTTTTTATTTGTTGCACGCTTACGTTGCAATAAGAGTAACACGTTTTACTGCACCTTTAACAATAAGTACTATACCTGAAGAACAGCTTGCTATCGATCCACGATGTCACCGGTTGAAGACAGGAAGTGTTCACAGTACTTGAGTTCAACGTCCACTGCTGTGACTGAAGCGTCTTGTCCACTAACCGCAAGCCATCAGTCACTAGATCTATCCAGTTGTACGATAACCGCATCCAGAGGATCCCCACTGGAACGTTCTTTACATCGTCTTGTGGAGTGAGATTTTTATCGTCAAACGTTACCCAGAGGAACTTCCCCAAGGGGATACCGAGGGAATCTGTGACTTGCTGGATGAAAGTAGCCATAGATTTACCACACTCCAGTACAACAATACAATATCCACTTCTGTTCATTACTAAAGCTTCTCTGGATATTGCTAAGAAGTCATACTCTTGCACTGATCGACCAACCATAACTTCATTGATGTTGAATTTGAGTGTAAGTGAGTTGGCCTTCTTGCGGATCTCGTGACTAATTCCCGCGGGGTCTTGTGACGACATGAAGATCCCAATACACGGGCTACCAAATTCTATAGCAAGTCCGATGATCGCTTCAGCCTGGGCCGAGATTGTCGGACTCAAGTTGACGTGCTTGTCGTGCTGAAACAAAGTAAAAACCGCGCTGTGAGTTTTGCATCAACGGCGACACATCTATCATAATGTACGTCAAATAGTGTGCATTGCTAGCTCATTGACCTCTACTACCAGACTCCCTTTCACACTTTCTTTTGTTTAGTTAATTAGCACCAATTAGTCTTACTATCCTCATGAGGGAATACCCATTTAAAGCGAAGCATTTTAGTGGTAGTAAAATGACGCCATCATGCAAACGTCGGCTTATTATCTTGAGTACTGTTTCGTTGTTGCAGTATTAAAGTGTATATGACACGAAAAAATTTTAATGTTAAGAATGTGTAGTTTATTGGCATTAATAAGAATATCACGGTTAAATTTGTTCCAAAAACGTATTTCTCTAGAAATTGAAAAAATTTTAGCACGAGTTGTGACGTCATTTTGTTTACAAGTCTCCAGATTTAGTTGCAAATACATGAAATATGTTTGAATATAGAATCTTAATTTCAAGTAGTACACTTTTCAGTTTCCCAACATTGGAAGAGTACTACGTAAGCTATCAAATGAAGCTGACTAAAATATGTCTTTTGTTGTTAATTTATGTGAATTACAATTTATATTTAGTACATTACTACTGAATCTAGAGTACGTGTCAACAAAATGACGTCACACTGAATTGGGATTAACTTTCGCAAATATCTCAAGAAATAAGCTTTTGAAACAAATTTTGTTACGATATATTTATTATTACTAACAAACTATACATTTTAAATGATGGAATGTTTTCGTGTCATATACACTTTAATCATTGCACAACAGAGAGCAATGCCTGGTGCTTGCGCAAAATAGTGATCCGTCAAATCTTTGAAGAATGCAAGTGTATCAATGTTAAAAGAGTCTAAAATTATCGTTACCGTTTCTAGCTCCGTAAAACATGCTAGTGAGAAGAAGAAGAAGAAGAAGAAGAAGAAGAAGAAGAAGAAGAAGGAGGAGGAGGAGGAGGAGGAGGAGGAGGAGGAGGAGAAGAATTCTGAGGAATCTTCAAACTTTACTGATGAGGTAACTTAACACTTAAACCCGTGGTTAATGATATCCTTAAATAATATGCATAAAATAAAATGCTCTACAACTTTACAACTAACACCGTATATCGAATAAAGGCGCGACGAGTGGAGACTGGGGTAAATGAACAGGACTCTTTATTTTTTTAATAGTTTTATTAAAAGGACCGATAAATTTAAAGTTTCTTAAAAGTTAAGTTTTTTTAATTACATAAAAGTAAACTTATCGCATGACGGACAAACACAGAGAATAGTCAACGATCAATTACATAAACTTAACGAATCTCAATTCCAGACTATGTACAATGACAGCATGCAAAAATTTTTCTGTCAACAATTTTCTATAGGTTGCTATCAATCAGATGAATGAAACTCATTTTCGGCTGAATGTGATGGCTTTCCTGTCTCGTGATCACATGTCAGTGAGAAGAGTTTGTTGAGTTCTCCTTAAAGGTTTTTCTCTGATTTTCAGTTCCTTCCTCCGCAAAACCGAACAGGCTAAATTGCAATTCGATCTATGAGATTACCATGCTCTAAGTTTGATTAGCCCAGAGGTAATAATTTCCTCACGTTATACCGGCTGAACGCAGGCTATGCAGAAATTGTCTCAGGGGTCGATCAGTAAAAATTTCTCAAAGGCTGCGCAGTTTGTTTGGATAGTAAAAGGATTGTTTTTCACAGGCCGGGAAAGTCAAAGTACATCAAGATCTTAACAACAATCTAGAGTATTCGAAACACGATGTAATATTTAATCAATCTTTATTTGTGCCTGGAGACAGCTCAGCATGAGTGCGCGCGCATCATCGATCAGAAAACACTCTTCATTACTTGAGAACGCACTTCAGTAAGACACAACAAAATGTGAATTATCGAGCTTGATAGAGAACGAGAAGAAGAGTATTAAAGATATATAACAGCCCCAGAGTGAATGAATGAACAAATATATTAAAATATTGGATATACTTTTATAAATCAAATAAAGTTCTCCATCCCGGCATGAACTTTGGCAAACACCTTGGTTCAAAGCTACTTTCAAACCTATCTGTCGTCGGTAAGCTATTTTCATTCCTCGCTAGACTCTATAGACTCCTTTGATACGATTTCCATAGGAATAAGGAAACTAGATCCAAGGAGATCTAAAGTAATAAGAGTCTCATGACAGTAGAACTCTCAAAACTCCTTTGAATAAAGTAAAGTAAACTTTTACATTATTTCAATCAGTTGAAAAGACGTGAGGTATTTGACAATTGTTAACGTTAATTAAATAATTTCTCGATCAGAAATCGGGTAGTCGACGATAAAAACAAATCATATGTAGAGTAATAAAAATACGTGGCTGAAAACTGAAAACCGTTGTTATAGCAACGTGTCGTGATTAACAGCTGAGCCACTTTTGTCAGAGTCAATTCACATAACTTAAGGAGAAGTGAGTAAATTGTTCAGCACGACGTTTCAACATTTTTATTTTGTACTTGTGAAGTTTTTTTCATCATATGTTTTGTGCAGTTTTTTGTTCTTTATCATTCGTCGAGCACTGAATAATTCAATGAAAAGCTTGAGTTTTGTAATATGTGCTGTTTATGAAACGAGCAGCTAATGACGATTTATTCTCAACACGTGAATTTTTACCAATAACATCTTCACATATGAAGATGCGTTTTATTAATGAAGAAAAAATAAATATCTCATCGATGATGTCATATTCAAGTTATTTATTTAGCTACGTACCGACCACCACTAAATCTAATAAAACTTATAATCCTCGCTTAAATACTATAGAAACAAGAACTCACTAGTTCAATGAACATTTGTTATAACCAAACCAGCTTAGATACAGATCACGAAAGTGCTTTTTCAGTTTGAGATCAAATAGGATCGTTGCGGAGTGACAACTATAAATTTTCAGTAAAGAATGTTTTCCTTTTTTCCGGGCTTCATGCGAAGAATATTTTCTATCTATTTTCTTCTTGACCAGCTATAATTTGTTTTCCATCTCCTCCAAAGAATTCGAAACTAATATTGGACCATAGTTTATTATTGTAGTGGTTAAGATCATGAATAACGAAATAAGATTGCGTAATACATACTAGCTAATGCGATCATTTAATCCAAAATTATGATTTTCAATAATTTGACCAAAAATCGCGCTAAACATCTGAATTTTCGAACCTCATAGCTCAAATAAAAACACCCAATATTAAAGAGGAAAAAAGGGAAAATTCCTAAACGAATAAATATCGATACAGAAATCGAACGCAGAAACTACGAATTTTCAAACGTCATTTGGTAATGATCTTTTCGTTAACAGAAGAAAAATATTAAGAATGAAATTTCTCAATTTCAGAACGGAAATATCATCGCTCAAAAAGTAACCAAATACAAGGAGTAAACTAAGATCAGAAGAGTTTTGATTACCGCGATGGATTTTTTGTTTGGATAACAGACTTTAGAAGATGAATCAAAGTAAACATAGTCTTTATTGTTTTTCTGATTCTCGCTTAAAAATTGAGAAATTTTCATTCAAAACATGAAAAGTTGTATGGATTGAAAAAAATATGCTATCACGATGGAAGGAATTTTCAGCGATTTTGCAAGAGTTAATTATGTAATGAAGACAAAAAAGAGGAACGATTTTTCAATTATCGGACGAATTGAAAAACTGTTAAATGCAGCAAGAGGTATGTTTATCCAAGTCTTCAAAGGTCTTAAAACTTACCATTTTATTGACTCGCATCCCTAATCCAATGTATGGAATAGAAAAATGCTGCGCTATAGTCTGACCAACTCCTCCCACCAACCCACCTTCAGGGCCGATCAGTGAAACAATTTTCTTGGCAGAAAATTTATGACATCCTTGGGTAACAATTTCTTCAAATCCTAGCCCGTGTGTGGATAAAATAACCGGTTGAAGGTTGACACTGGAGAAGCTTACGTTGGTTGTGTTCCAGGTTTTATCGAGTAAAATCCCCACATTGAATGGGATCTTCGGTATGGCAAAGGACGAAGAAACGTACAATATAAATACTAAGAAAAAAGTCCATTGTAAAGATGACCTTGAAAGGGCTTTCCTCATTCTCACTTGAATATCTCAAATATAACTTGATATTTTGAATAGGAGTTATTTTCCTTGTCTTCGTGAAAGTAATGATAAAACGTTATTCAATTAATTCACAATGTAGCGTATAACATCCGTCATGGTTGCCTTGAGATCAGTGGAAACGCAACTTCTCTTGTCGATCACTGATTTCATTTCTGCATAATTTGCCCGGCAGTCGATCAGCAAACAGTTCATCACCTCGCCAATCGTACTGTCACTAATGTGTATAGGTTGTTAGGTAAGCGGATTGGACTTAACAGGTATTTTCAACTTTATTGAAAGATCTCCTCTAAAATAAAATAGAAGTAATCAAAGGGCAGCATTTGTTGTTTTGTTTTGTTTTGTTTACGAATTATATATGTATAGTTTGTGGAATTTGCGGTGATTAGGGATCACTTATTCGCAAGAACTATTTAAACGAATTCAGTTAGTCTTAAAACTTCCAGTAAAATTCGCGATAAATTTATATAGCGACCGTTGTGAATTAAAAATGGTCTAATTAAATTTTGTTACCGAGCTGTTGAATAATGCTAATAAAATAGAAAAAAATCATGTATTTTATACGACAGTTAGAGGATTTATGAGACCTTAAAACACTAGTTAACCTTAGAAACCATTCGCTCATTTACGTTAAACATTGAAGTACTTTGAGTAGGAAACGCTGTCAGAACAATGTTAAAAATATTATGAGAAGAGAAAGTTCTTTGTGGCAATGGCACGGCACTGATTTATATGTATACGGCAGGAAAATGTTGCTCTCATCACCAGGTGAAAATTTAAAGATAAAGACATTATCGTTAATGCCTAGTTACGGACTGTCAGGGATATAGCTAACGTGGCATTCAAGCACCAATTCTCGTATCGTAACCTTGCTATATTTGTTTCTTTTTTGTGGAAAAACGTCGCGCGAAGACATGGAATTATTTGTTATCAGTTGATAACGGTATTTCTTGATTACTTATTCTTGATGGAACAAGTAACAATCTAGACATTAATAGATGCTTGAATCTGTGACGTAACCGTTGTTAATACAGAGTTAATACAGAGCTATAATGTCTTCAAATATAATCCAACATAATAATGATATTTAATACTTCTATTGCGCATTTTCTATATAAATACTCAAATTCGGATATTGATTACATTTCATAACATGCAACATATATCTACCGTACGCACGATGAAATCAACATTATAGATGCTTGAATCTGTGACGTGACCGTCGTTAATACAGAGTTTCAAAAAAGGATTTGCATCATCATGTGATGGTAGCCATGACAGAAGGCAAAGCAATAAAGTGGTCTTTTTACCTTGTGAAAATGGATTCTTTAGACCGATTCAAATACTGTTTCTGCCTTCTATCATGGCTGCCATCATGTGATATTGCTAACCCGGGGGAGGGGGGTACTACCACCCCAACTTGGGTAGGGGTGTGCCGCCAGGACCTCAAAACCCTGACCCTATCCCAGACCTAAAATTTTGATTTCACATACCCTACCCCAGACTAAAACTAAGAATTGTACACCCTATCCCAGACTAAAAGACAGAAAAGATGGTTAATCAATAGATTGCAATCAATATTTACTAACGTTTGTATTGTTTTTGTGTCGGCAGAAAGCGTAGTCTATTCGCCAGACAAAAACGACCAAATCGTTAACCCTATCCCAGACTAAAATGATACCCTACCCCAGACCCAAAAGCCGAAAAGCCATACCCTATAGGGCGGCACATACCCGTATAGCAAATATAGGGGAGTACCCCCCCCCCCCCTCCCTCCGCGATTGCAAAGCCTCTATATAACCGCTATTAAAGTCAAGATAAAGAACCAAGGATGTATTTTCTATTTGCAGCTATATTGCTGCATAGATCTTTTTAGCTTCGTTGTTTCTTGTGCAAATTTCAGACCATGTGATGTCACTATTTGGAGTTGATTCTTTCATGTGTAAATATTTTAAAATGTTAGTCATAAAAGAATAATTCTCAAGGGAATGTCATGTGATCTTAAATGCGTAATCTGCATAGCTAATATTACTGGAGCAGACTGATTACGATGGCTAGTAATAGACCAGTTTCGAATTCCAAATTACCGCTGTGTTCCTTGATTACAGACTCGTTTGCACAGGGTTAGCCTCGTATCAGTGTTTAAATATTCACAAATACCAACAGTAAAGTAAAGAATGCACAACTTCAACAATACGAACACTTTGAAACTCGACGGACCTTGACTGGAACACGTGAATATTCTGCACAAACTCGAGGCTAACCCTGTGCAAATGAGTCTATAGTCAAGAAACACAGCGGTATTTTGGAATTTGAAACGGGTCTATTGTTTCATTCGTGTACTCTATARCCTTTGAAAAAGTTTTAGCTTTCGATTTTAAAAAAATGGAGGTTGTTACCAACTCACAGATCAGTACAACACACAAATCTGTACACGGAAATCAAAAGTATAGCATAGAAAAAAAGAATTTTTTCTGTTGATTTCATCGTGCGTAAGGTAGATATATCCGCTACGCGTCGTGCTTCTTCTAACACTTCTCTCGTGTTCTGCCAATCCCCGCGTGCTTTATAACTGCACCCCCACGCGCGCAAGTCTTCTATTTCTTCAATCGATATTTCGACACTTGGAGCTAAATAAACTCGTTACAAATTCATATCCACGCACCTCAATTCAACGCACCATTTTTGGGGCTAGTACATGTGACGTCACAGCCGCCATGTTGGTTAACATGGCGACCATGCATTTTGGTTTTTTTTATACTTATGAAAAGGGATGGTTGTACGCCGGCAATAGAAAAATTATGTAGACAGATAAACATAAAGACTTTGCTTGTTGTATTTACTTTAATCTACTATCCAGTAGACTATATATGTTGACATCAAAGTACATAACATCCATCTTGTGGATCCATTGTCTTGTTGTTTTATGTTATTGAACAGCAAAAACACTTACAATATATGCTGTTTGTCTTTCTTCTTTGTAAAACATCTGCTCTTAATTTTTACCAAAATCAGACTCAGAAAATAAAACGTTTTGCCGAAATAAACTATCTATCGCATTGGAAGGAGTGTCAAAAAAGGTTGTCATTCAATACCTATTCGGCTACGATGAATTCTCTTGCAATTTATATAATAGATTTTCACGAACGCCTGATCTATTTAATTACAAAGGTTAACGAAATGCATCATGCATGAGACTTAAACCGAGCGGAAAAGAAAAGGAAAGGAAAGGAATAAAGGACAGAAAAGAAAAGAAGAGAAGAGAAGAGAAGAGAAGAG